GGGACACTAACACTGGTCTCAAACTCTTGTCTCCTGGTTGAAAGTCCTACGTTTGTTTAATCATTTGTGGTTCTATGGAAAGTTTGCTGTATGTGCCGGACAGTGTTTGTCGGTGCCACCAGCAGCTGTAGCCTCATATGCAACAGACAGATAGGTATCAATGTTCTTATCTAAATCACAGCAAGAAAGCGAAAAGCATTTTTCCTAAATTGTTGAACTTTACCTGTAAGTTATTTCAATCCTCAGTGAAAAAAAAAATGTATTCGTTAAAATTTGCAGAAAATACACACGTACACATCAGCCTGCCTTAAAAATGGACGATATTGATAGCATAGCTGTGATGACTTATGGATACATTTAAAGCAACAGTTTAGGTTCCCTTTCATGCACACTATTATATTTACTACATACGTCTTTATTTTTAGAAATATATAAGAAGATATATATACAGTGACAGTTGATGACAACTTCAGTGCACGGCTGACTTTTTTTCTGTGCTCTTTTTCAATGTACACTAAAACATTCACACCCATTCAGAAAGAGCAGAAATCAGTGCTTTTAACGACAACAACTTACAGCGAATACACTTCGTTAGTTTTCCCTCGACAAACGATCTGAGCTCGGAATGAAAAAAGACAACACAGTCTGATCTGTTGGAATCAAAACAAGCCTGTAAAAGCTCTTTGGTGTCTACTGCTCTAATCTCTGAACTGGTCAGTGAAAAGTGCACACAGTTCAGACCAGGATTTAGCCTCTCAGTAGACTGGCAGGGGAGAAGAATTTGAACGATGTTTTCTAGTGCTTAAACACAAGTCATTTCAACAGGGAACGGCATTAGTGTTACGTAATCTGTCCCAGAGGGACTATAATGCATATAGAAAATGGGATGTCATTTTTTTCTGTAGTGATGTAAGATTACTTTTTTCTATCACAGGGACGACTCAGTTCTGTAATAGCAAGACATCCCATGATGGGCTGAGTCAGCGGGCTGATCATATGAGCAGAGGATCCAGGGAGCTGAGGTCTGTGGTCGGGGTGCGTCAAAATGGGAAACAGATGTGGCCTCACAGAGGCAGGAATTTACCGTCAAACTGGGCCTCAGATTCCTCCCAGTGTACACACGGTTTACATGCTAAAAAAATACTGTTTTTTGCCCTCATTCTGAAAAAGACAATAGTCCTACTCAGCAGTTTACATGGCCAATGAAATGTATCTTTCCACTCATATTCCTGTGCATTCCCCGATTAACGTAAAACCCCCTGGTGATTTACAAAGCGGATCGTAAACAGCTGAGAGGCCTTGTGTCGCAAACTGCCGTAAAAACCCCAATTGAAACGTATACTGAAGAATGTCCAAAGAATGCTCCTAAAACCGGAATAATACCGCATATCCCACATGTCTTCATTTAAAAATGCTACTCATAGACTAAGGGCTAGTTTGGAATATTCAAATGTTGTTCACATGACCCGTATCAAATTCAGAATATTGTTATATTCTGAATAATAGAGGAATATTAGTGTCTATGTAAATGCAGTCAGCGAAGAGTCTGAGTAGAAAATCAATCACTGCATTAAGGTAATGGCTGCTGCTGCACATTTGGATTATAGAAATGCATTCTCTATATCGCGATATTAAAAGATTTTCCAACACTGCAGATAAATATAGAGCGATCGACCGCTTGGTAACCACCTTAGTAAGGAGTATTGGATTATAAATCTATCTCCGCCTGTAGCCGTTCCCCACACACACACACATACATTTACACCTGCTGCCTGTTCGCTGGTGCTGAGAGGGGGGGGGGGGGGGGGGGGGGG